GGACACGACTACCACTACCTTATCAAATGGAATGATGCATTAAAGCAGTAGTGTCAAACTCAAATAGAAATGGAACCCCTAAACCGTACATAAGGATCCCTGTGAATGTCTTTGAAAACTACATATTAATATTATCTATACTTTATCTTATTTTTATTTATTAAATATTTCCCAATTTCATTTTAATCTGGTCCTAGGATGATGTTATGAACGACATCTGGCCCATAGATTTTACACAGGCTATACACCTCTGTCTTAAAGAACTCTTTCTTTCAATTCTGAATTTTTCTTATTGTTTCTGGACCTTCTTTCTCTCTGGGCCACCAGTCATCAAGTATCATCAAGAAAACCTAGAATTGCCAAAATGCTTTTTTATATTGAGCTCTGTAGGCTCAATAATCTATGCCATGTGGACTTCCTGCTCATATGCATTGTCCAAGCCCATCTTTTATTGTACAGACAGCAACTCACATTCAGGAAGGCACTGTCTTAAAGTATGCATTCCCAAACATTCTGCTTTTGTTTATTAGGATTTACATTCATTTCAGTTTAAAGACCAGTAACTGGGAATTCCAGTACATCGTGAGATAGATTGTTGTAATTACCAGAAATCTATACCTTTATTTTGAGCCCAAATATGCTTCTTGGTAATCTGCCTACAGTTGCTTAGTAAATGTTTATTGACTGGCTGACTTCAGACTCTTTGGGACCAATCAGAACAAATCTGACCTTTATCCAAATTATAGCCTTTCAAATACTTGAAAACAGACATTGTAATGAATGAAAGAAAAAGCACTTATATATGCTAAGCACTGAGGATATAAATATAAAAGAGTCTCTGTTCTCAAGGAGCTCACTTTCTAATGGGGCAGCATCATATATAGAAGGTTTCACCTGCAAGTGAGAGGAAAAGGTCCTTTGGTCCTTACGGTGTAGCAGCAGATGGTAGTGTATCAATTTCAGTGTTGTTTCCACTGATGAAAATCATATCAGTTTCTGATGTTGAACCATTTGCTAATGCCAAGTACTCTAGTAGCAAGAATTTTTCTTTTTTGAGTCTTTAGTAATCTATTGCTGCAGAACCTACAGGAGCAGTTGTCAGCCACTTCTCTATGGGGGCTACTTCCCAGGAAGATGGCTGTAAGGATTGTGCTGGAAGCACAACAAATTATCTAGGGGACACTACTGTTCCCAAGACTTGGATTCAGGGTCCTAGGCTTTTTCTGTCAATGTCTCAGGGGGATGTTGTGGTTGAGTGGTAGTAGTGGCTCAACTTGTCTGGCAGAAATTGCCTCCTTCTTTTCCCAACTTTTGTTAGACTGCTTTGCCTGTCCTGTAGGTGATCTACCATTATGTCTTTACTCTTCCAGAGAAAACATCGGTAATTTTTTCATTTGAGCCTTATTAAGCATGGTCTTTAAGCCTTTTATCATGTATTCCAGTCTACTTGTGTTTTTTCTAAAATATGGCACACTGAACTGAATATAATATTTCAGATCTTGCTTGATCAGTCTAGAGTGTTGTAGTGGTAGTAGTAATCATACTTTTCTTGTTGTATACACTATACCTTTCTCATTCCAAAGAATCTATTAACTTTCTTGACAGGCTGCTGTGTCTCACTGATGTTCAGATAGCTAAAATATCCAAATCTCTGTCACATGAGTAATTTTCTAGCCATGCTTTCTCTCTTCTTTGTGCAATTGATTTTTTTAATTAAAGGGGAGGAATTTAACCCTGTTAAATTTCATCTTTCTAGATTTAACCATTGTTCTGGGCAGCTGATGCCATTTTGTATCTGTTTTAGCTAACTTCATGCCATTTTATTTTATTGCTATCTTGGTAAGTTTGTCACTAATAAAAATGCAGACCAGTAACCAAGAACAGACCCCTGGGGTTATCATTAGAGACTTTCTTCCAGGTTGTATTAGCCCATTAATTTTAACTTTGGGTCTATTCATTCAAAATTCTGAATCCGGGGCAGGTAGGTGGCGCAGTGGATAGAGCTCTGGCCTTGGAGTCAGGAGGACCTGAGTTCAAATTCGACCTCAGACACTTGACACTTAGTGGCTGTATGACCTTGGGCAAGTCACTTAACCCCGATTGCCTCACCAGAAAGAAAAAAGACGAAAAAAAATTCTGAATCCATTCTATTATACTATGAACTTAACTCACATTTTTCACATTTGTCAGCAGTGATTTCATTTTTGTCAAACGCTATGTTAAAATATAGGTGGTATTTCTTGTCTATGCCAGTCCTATGTTCCACTAGTCTAGTGATGCTGTCAAAAATGAAATTTAATCTATTTTTGATGAACCTGTTTGGCTCTTAGGGGATCACTGATTCCTTTTTTTTAAAGTGCTCACAATCTCTAATATATCCTAGTGTTTTGCCAAAAATGTCAAGTTTACTGATGCAGTAGTTTGAATATTGTTGTCTTTGCCTTTTGAACATTGGGACAGCATTTATCTCCAGTCTTGTGGTACCTTTTCAAAGGTCAGCAGTTTAGCAGTCATATGTACCAGTTCAGAACTACATCCAAATGTAGTTTTCTAGGTCTGGTAAATTGAATTAATTGAAAGCAGCTAGCTGTGCTATTTAATTTCCTTATTTTAGGCTTTAGTTCCCTGTTAACCACTTTGGTTTTATCCTTTCCAGTCCAAAGATGTTCTCCATGGTTAAGAAAACAAGCAAGAGAAGAGTTATTTTCCTTCTATTGTCAGGACACATCTAACCAAGACAGTTGTCTTTTTTTGATCTTTCTCTTGCTAAAATTAAAATATTTTTATTTTGGCATAAGGTTGTGTCTGACCACTCATTTTAGCAAAATTAATCAACAAATTTATACAGATTGTCTTTAGAGACAAGTAATTTAGGACAAAATTCTTAGGTCTTAAAGATCCTTAATTGTGTCTCCCTACAGAATACTTCAGAAAGGTGCAAAATGACCTAATTAAGAGATACAGCATTGTATAATGGAAGTCTGACCTTAGAGTAATAAAGACCTGGATTCCAGTCCCACGTATTTTTGGATAGTTTTCCTTTCTCAGAAATTTTTCTTGTTTCAGGACTAAATTTGCCTTTTTATGGAACTTCTGCTCCTTCTAATTCTTCTCTCTAGGGACAAGAGGAACAAATTACTTTTACTTGCATATAAAACTCAGTATATCCCTTACAGAACTCATTATTCTCTGCTGTACCTCTCCATACCACCGCCACCCTCCATGTCTCCCTCTTCCAAACTTCCCTATTTCTGGTAAGGTCACCACCATCCTTGGATTCACATGGATTTTAAACCTGAGTCAACCTCAGCTACTCATTATCCCTTACCCTATGTGTACTTGCCAAGTCTTACTGATTTTATCTCCACATTTTTCAGTTGCTTTTTTCTTCAGTCAACTAGCCATTACCCTAGTTCAGCGCCTCATCCTTTTCACCTATTACGGTAGCCTCAAAATTAGTCTTCTTCTTCCAGTCCCTCTTTCTCCATTTAATTCTCCACACACCTGTCAAAGTGATATTCCTAAAACACAGGATTGTGTGACTCCTCTGCTTGTTAAGTTCTATTGGTTTCCTGTTACTACTAGGATAAAATACAAACTTCTCTGTTGGCATTTAAAGTCTTTCACCTGGCTCCAACCTACCTTTCCAGCCATATCATACCCCTTCACATATACTTCATTACAGGGAAACTGACTTTCTTACTGTTTCTCACATATGATATTCCATTGCCATGCCTTTGTATATCTCTTCGTAAATGGAATGAGTTCCCTTCTTCTGTCTCTTAGAATCCTTTTTTTCTTTCAAAACCCAACTCATATACCACTTCTTACATGACCCTGGCTCGATCCCCCCAGCTGCTAGTGCCTCCTCAACAAATTGCTTGGTATTGATTTTTTTAATGCATTATGTATATTCTTATACTTAAGGTGTGTATATGTCTCATTTCCTTCAACCACTGCTAATACAGCCTGAACTTGAACTTCTGCACCATCCTGATTGCCCTCTTCTGGGTGTCTTTCAATATCTTTTTTACACCATGACCTGGAGCTAGGTGGCAAAATTCATAGAAGGCTAGACTCTTGGAATCAAGAAGACTGCAATTTAAATCCTGACTTAGGCACCTAATAGCGGTGTGACTCCGAGCAATTCACTTAACCTTTTGTATCTCACTGTCCCCATTTGTAAAATGGGGGTGATGGTATCTTCCCTGCCATGGCTGTTTTTGAGGATCAAATAAGATAACATATAAAGCACTTTGTTAACCTTAAAATTCCATGTAAATTCCAGCTATTATTAAGCTGTACTTTTATTAAAAGGATTTGTTCTGTAAAATTTGGATTCAGTCAAAAGGCCGCACTTAAGGATCTAGGCGGCCACATGTGGTCTCAGGGTCACAGATTTCCCACCCCTGCAGTCTAACCCGTTTATCCAAACTCTCCCCCCTCCCCACTACATACAGTATATGTGCTTACACACAAACATATCCTCACAAATGTGTATATGTGTGTGTTTGTCCAGTGACTAATACACAATTCTGTCACCCATCTTCCTAACTACAGTATTGTAAAGATGAATGACTATTAAATTATTTCAAAATTTGCAATTCTTTCCTCTTTCTAGAAATGGATAACATTTTAACATGCACTATAAGTGTTTATAAGAGAAAGCAGATCCATCTTATTTTCTAGGAATTTGGGGAGGAATGTATTTAGAAAAATATATTTGCTTCAACTCAAGACATAATTTAAATACCTACTTAAGTACAACTGTGGTAGTAACCCTTCCATACCCTAATTATTATGGCAGATGTTATGATTTTTGTTTTTAGTTTATGCTACTGTTTCATTAATTCCTTATTTTAGTGATTTCTTAATACATAACTTACGAACAGGTCTGTGTGTGTATTTTAACACTGGGCTAACTAAACTTTTGGTAAGGAAAAACAGGCTTCTTGGAGAGCATGTTACATTGATTCCTTTTATTTATCTTTCATTTTCAGGAATTATTCTCGAATAGATTTTTCTTAAGAGAGTCATCTTTACAATGGCTTCAGCTGTTATCAGTTCTGTTCCCACTACTGCTTCTCGTTTCGCCCTCTTGCAAGTAGATAGTGGCAGTGGTTCTGATTCTGAGCCTGGAAAGGGCAGAGGTCGGAATCCTGGAAAGTCCCAAACTTTGGGGAACAAACCAACCACAAATGAAAAGAAGAAAGAAAAAAGAAGAAAAAAGAAAGAACAGCAGCAGAGTGAAGCGAATGAGGTAGCATGAAAATTAACTGGTTTAAGGGGTTTTTTTTGAATTGTCTGAAGACCTGTGTCCACACACTCTTTTCCTTATTAGGGAGGACTTGACAGTTTTTCCAAAAATTATTAGTATCAGTATTAATTGCATAATAAACATCTTAAAGTAGATTTTTCACTTGGGAAAAATATAGGGAAATAGACTACCATATGGATGGGCAAAAGCATGCCTTAACTTGGGAAGAACTGGGTTCAAGTCCAGCCTTTGGACACACTAGCTTTGCAACCCTGGCAAATTACTTTTCAGCTTCACAAGCAAGTTTCTAAGACTTTAAAATTTGAGAATAGTTGCCAGTCTGTGTTAGTAGAGGAAGTTTTCTTACTGGAGGTTCTGTATATTCCCAGTGATAGGTCTGGACCACCTACGCTTCCTTCTTCCCAAAAATAACGATGGAGGGAGTTAAAAACAAACAAACATTTGACACGTGAAGATCCTTAACTAAGTTTTGTTTCATTTTAGAAAAACTAATCAAGGGGCAGCTAGGTGGCACAGTGGATACAGCACCGCCCCTGAAGTCAGGAGGACCTGAGTTCAAATCCGGTCTCAGCCCAAACACTTGACATTAGCTGTGTGATCTTGGGCAAGTCACTTAACCCCAATTGCCTTTTAAAAAAAATTAATCCAATCATTCTTTTCTTGTATTATTTTTGCTCAACTTATTATTTGAGTCTTTAAGAGTGATCTTTCTACTATAGCCACTTTTTACTATGTCTATTTAAAATGTTTTTCCCTCAGATTATTTAAGAGAGAACACTTTCTAACATTTTCTGGCCCTCATTTAGAACATTTGGATGCCCCTATACTATTGCGTTGCATGGTTGTTACTTTTGAAGTTGAGAATGTGAAGAACAGAGTGTAGGGTTATATATCTGTAGTATTGTGCCAGTCATTTTTAATTTACAGATGAAGAGAATGAGATTCAGAAATGTTAGATGACATATTGAGGGTCAAAATAAGTCACTGGGAAAACCAGGATTAAAACTTAGGTCTTCTGATATTAAAATAGTACTTTATAAAAATTGTTCTACATATCAAATAATATGATGAAAGAGATTCTACTACAACACAACTTCCTCAAACATCATTTAAATTGGAATGTTTTCATGGTATCTCAGACACACTGGCAGGAAGAACAGGATGGAAACAGGTCCACCAGCAAGGAGGATTACTTGTAGAGCTTATGCCTAAGTATGGCTATAGCATGAACCCCAGTCCATTTCAAAGGCTTTATATAGTCTCTTCTAAATCAGACTGAAAAGGAGAATGAAATTGTCAGCTGTAGCATCTGAGCCTAAGGAACTTCTTTCCTTTTCCTATAGCCACACTTACTCTGGATCCAAATTTTTTATAGTTTATGCATAATAACCTCCTTGACTGATACCTCTTTTCTCAGTCCATTCTCCCTGCCAGTCTGTCCTATATACCATGAAAATAATGCAATTAAAATATGTGAGGTAATTGCACTATAGTAGAAGGAACATACATATTTATTGTTTTCTCGGATCTTCATCAGTATCTCTCATTAGTGAGGCAGGTTGTCAGGTATTAATTTAGAGCTAGATGACTTGAGTTTGAGTTTTGGGTTTGAGTCCTGGCTTTGCTCCTGATGAATAGTTTGACCTTGACTTAATTCTTCAGAGCCTCAGTTTCTTCATCTGTCAGTTGGAAAGAATACCTAATACCTTAACTGGGTTTTTAGGATCAAATGAATAATCTGGGTAAAGCACTTGGTAAGTTATGAAATGTTATGTAAATATTATCTTAATAATGGTGTTTGGATTATCTTGAGAACTCTGCTATGGCTCTCATCCCAATTGCCTTAAAAGTCAAATGAAAATTTATGATCCTGGGTTTTTTGAAGCCTTGCATTTTTCCTCTCTTTCGCTCATCTACTTTACCTTGACTTTTAAGTGGAAATACTGTGTAATTTTATATTGACTTCAAGAATTAATTCCTCTATTCATCACATCCAGGATGTCAGTGTTCACTTTACCCAGGGTTGATCAGGTTGTTAAGCAAATTTTTGATTTGTTAACCATTTAAGAGTAACTCTTCTATGCCTTGTAGTTGTATCTTAAAATCACACAGGTTTTTCTGTTCTCCAGTCTTAATAACTTTGTACTTTTAGAATAAAAGGAATTAAAGAATTGATAAAATAGCATTATGGCATGATTATTATTTTAATTGTCATTGTCAACCCACAAATACTAGCAAATTGGGACCTACAATAATGTTTCATTATTATATTCTGCTTTTTCATTTGTAAAAATTAGATTAGATTTGTTTCAGTTCCTTCTAGGTATAAATCCTGTTAATAGTGTAATAGTTTACAGTATACTTTGAATTATGTTGTAAGACCTTGACAACAAATCTGTGAAATTAAATAGTGAAGATATTCTCTTTTTTACAGATGAGGAAGTTGGGAGTGCACACATGTAGATAAGTCATTTGCCAAATGGCACATAGCTCCTTATTAGTTTTGAAACTGGAATTGAAGTATTCTTGATGCCAAATCCAGTACTTTTACCACCTATATCTCACTACCTCTCAAAGTAACATTATTAGTGCCCACAAAGATTTTAGCAAACACAATAGTTATTTATTTGGTTTTAATAACTGATTGACTAATCAGGATAATTTAAATTTCTAGTCACCAATAACCTAGAGTTTAATTAGCTGATAGCAATACACATGCTTTGTTATTGTCCTTTCAGCTTAGAAATATTGCTTTTAAGAAGATTCCCCAGAAATCCTCCCAGGTGGTTTGTAGCTCTCAACATGAGCTTTCGTTGCCAAACCCGGTACAGAAAGACTTACAAGAAGAAAATTGGCAAGAGTGGAGACAAAGAGATGAACAGGTACAATTTTCCAGATTATTATTTTTCTTCATTCTTTGGTGGAATTACTAATGTGAATTTGTGAATTTCAAGTTAACATAGAAATGAAATGTTAACAATAACATATCTTCATCTTTACTACCACTTTGTCAATGAATAATTGTAATTATACATATTCTAATGGAATGAAGTTTTTTACAGCTTTGTATAATTCCTTAAAGTTGTGCTATTTTTTAATACCAAAATTCCATCACAGCTGCCACCATGAAGTATTATCCTCTGTATCTATATTAGATGAGTCTAATCTTTCTTTCATGTTTGAAGGAACCTATAATGAGCTCTTCCTCCTTCCCCTCTCCTAATTTTCTCTTTTCCAAGTTAAATCTCAATTTCTTATACCATTCCTTATGTGACATAGTTATGTACTTCTTGTGTCTTATCTTCCTCATTAGATTGTAAGCCCATTGTGGATAAGTGCCAAAGAAAAGCTTAGAGTGACATGAGAGATTTGAGGGGGGAGGGATGATTAATCCATAGAGGATTAAGAGAAGGCATTTCATGGAGGAAATGTCACTTGAACTTGGCTTTCAGCTTGAAGAAATGGAGGGCAAATGAATTCAAGCATGTGGGAAAATGCATCTAAAGGTGCTGAGAAAAGGAAGGAAGAGATCTGGGAATGGAAAGTAGTGTCATTTTGTTAGAATGTAGTATGTATAAGGGAACTAGTATGAAGAAAGGGTGGAAAGGTAGGAAGAAGGCACATGCTGGAAGGTTTTGAATACCAGACTGAGAAGTTTCTGCTTTAAATAATAATGGGAACCCATGAAAAGTTTTTAAATTTTTGATTAGAATAGTTATATGATAAGATGACGTGAAGTATTAGATTGATTGTAGAAAGGAAAGACTAAAGGAAGGGAGGAAAAGATGAGATTACTAGGGGAGAGAAAAAGAGTAGAAGAGAGCTTTAGTGAGTACCTCTAATTTGGGAAGTAAAAGGAGCTAGGAGAAGACAGCAATGTTCAAAAAGTGTACCAGTTTTTAATTTCTTTTTTAGGAAAGGATCAATATTTTCCATCTTGAGGGGCACTGTCTAGTATATGCAAAACAATTGTCCTCTAATATACTTCTCTCCTCAAATGGATTTCTCTGTAGACTTGTGCATGTTTTTGATATATAGTGCCTACTCCACTCCCTCTCTGTTAGATTTATTTCTACTGAAAGTATGGTCTTTCATTGCCAAATTATAATCATAACTCCTTTCCCACGAAGTCTGTAGTAAAACCGTAAGTTTTCATTAAAAATTCAAGCTCATTTTATTAACCATACTCCGTTTTGGTATATCCAGTCGTGCGTAAGATGCAGTATACCTCCAGAGCGTACCAGCAGTTAGTGACTCAAAGCTCTGAGCATCAAAAATTCTTCCAAATTTGATTTGAGGCTAGTTATATCAGTTTACCTAGGAGTATAGATAGCAAATCCAAGCACATAGTCTCTCACTGCTCTGTCAATCAAGTACTGATTCTACCAAGCAAGTAGCAGTACAACGTACATTGGAAACAAAGCATAGTGCCACAAAATAAACACAGTACACCAACTGCCTAGTCAAACATCTTTTATTTACACATATTAAATCACATTATGAGTCAACTGTTTTAAATAACTACAATCCTTCAGCACTGTAGGCAACATTGAACAGTGTAGGAATTAAATGTGTTTAAAATTATTTAATATCATTAAAATACTATTGCCAAAAAAAAGTTCCCTATAGAAGTAAGTACTTGAAACATTTCAGGATTTATATATTCACCTGAGTGTTGTTCCTCAAATTTGTTTTGTGAAGATAGGTATTGTTCTAATTGTTAGATTGTTGTTTAGGAGATGATATTCTTTTTGATGAGTTCTTCATTCAACTTGGTGAAGTTAAAGCGTATAAGCCTTTGGAGTCATCGAGAGGAGTTTAGTATCTAGTGTGGATATATGCCTACTGGCACTTTGCTTTTAAGACACAGGAACCTTAGGGGCAGCTAGGTGGCACAGTAGATAGAGCACCAGCCCTGGAGTCAGGAGGACCTGAGTTCAAATCCTGCCTCAGACACATAACACTTACTAGCTGTGTGACTTTGGGCAAGTTACTTAATCCCAATTGTATCACCAAAAAAAAAAAAGACACAGGAACCTCAAGATGGTTGGTGGGCTGGGTCTCAAAAGAGTGAACTCTTACCAGAGGAGTTGGGCCCTTTGCCCTGTCTTATTTTCTTGTCTGTCTTTGTTCAGAAGACAGACCAGCACAAAGCAGAGTAGATCTGAATTGGGGCAGGAGGGGTGCTGAAGATAATCTCTGCCTATGTGGAGTTTTCTCCTTACCAGGAGCAATTTGATAGCCACTATTTGTAGAAACACAGACGTAAACATAAGCATACACACTTGCACACAGCCTAAGATAGTAGTTATGGGTGGTCCACTGGCAGTGTTTGTGAATCCCAACTTCTGTGGAGGACAGGGCAATTTCAAATTCCCTAAGCAGCATTATCCTATAATCTAGCTTTTTAAATAGAGAAGGGAGATTGCCAGGGTAGATGGGAAGTTTTGGAGAGTAGTCTCGTAAAAACATGACTTAACAAGTTGAGACACTTGAACCTTCTAGAAACATGGGATTTTGAGCTGCAGTCCACAAACTTATTTTTTATATTTTCAGTAAACAGTTACTAAGTACCTATAATGTGCCATGTACTGTGCTCAATACTTGGGTATACAATTAATAAAAAAGACATCCCTGCCCTCAATGAGCTTGCAATCTAAAGATTTTTATAACTATTTTATATAATTTTATATATAATATATTTATATATCCTATATTTACATATATGTAATTTTAAAATTATATAATTTTATATAATTGATTTCCTTTCCTATATGTTTTGTTTTATTCATTTAAAAGCATTATTCGGTGAAGGGCTTTATATATAGGCTTTATCAGACTCCTAAAGGGATCAATGACACAAAAAAGATTAAGAACTCCTTAAGAGAAGGGGATTTTCTCATGCAGTATGCTTTATGGAGAAGGAAGGGATTCATCCACATACAGTTCTGTTCAGCATTCTATTTGGAGAACAAAGCTAGTAAGTTATTCATAGTGAAGTTTCAATGGGAAGAGATTGCTTGTTCAGCAGCCCCCAAAGTATATTTACCTTCTGGGGAAAGTCAAGATAGGGTGGTACTAATGTTAGTTGTGAACTCTGTAGATGGAAAAAAAGAGACCAAGACGTCAAAGTGTTGTTTCATAGCATCCCAGTGTGAGTTCCCTTCTTGGAGAAGTCAATGAGCTATTTGAGTACTCTATGTTTTATTGTGTGTGTCTGTATGTGGACTCTTGTGTCATTTGTATCATAAACATTTTGTAGGATGAAATAAAAGTTATCCTGTACCCAGTATATATTTGGTACTTTGTTTGTAGGGGAGGTGAAGGCCCAGGCCCCTTTTACCCATATTTGGAAAATTCAGACACATACCATGTTGTGAATATACTAGATTTTTCTAGAGAAACTGAGGTAAGAGCTTTGAGCCAAAAAAAAAAATATTTTTAGATTAGTTTTTTTCAATTAACAAGCTTTTATTTTCTCTCACTTTTACTCTTCCCTCAAAAAGAAAAATACTCTTGTATCAAATGTCCATAGTCAATCAAAACAGATTCCCACATTGGCCATGACCAGACATTTATGTCTCATTTTGCATATTGAATCCATCTGTTAGAAGGAGGGTAACATTTTTCATCTTTTGGTACTGTAGAATCATGCTCATTCATTGTGTCAGAGTTCTTAAGTCTTGCAGAATTGCTTGTCTTTACAATATTGTTGTTTGAATTGTTAATTTTGTTCTGCTCATTTTCCTTTGCATGAGTTCATTCAAGTCTTCCCAGATTTCTCTGAAACAATTCCTTTTCATCATTTCTTATGGTATAGCGTTCTATTGCATTCATCTACTATAATTTGCCCAGCTATTCCCCAGTTGATAAATATTCCTTTACCTGACAGATGCTTTAGTTTGTTTTTATCTTTTAGTGATTCAGAGCATTTTTCATGAGACTACTAATAGCTTGGATTTTTTTCATTTGAGAACTACCTGTTTATATCTTTCAGTCACAGCCAACTCTTTGTGACCCCACTTAGGGTTTTCTTGGCAAAGATACTAGAGTAGTTTACCATTTCCTTCTGCACCTCATTTTACAGAGGAGGAACTGAGACGAATAAGGTTGAGTGACTTGTCCAGGGTCACACAGCTAGTTAGTGTCTGAGACTAGATATAAACTCAGGAAGACCCATCCTCCTGACTACAGACTCAGTACTCTACCCACTGAGCCACCTAGCTCCCTCTTACATCTTTTGACCATTTACTAATTAGGGAATAGCTCTTTTTCTTATAAATTTGTATCAGTTACTTTTATCTTGGAAATGAAATTTTTATTAGAGAAAGATTTTTTGCTTGCTGCAAAGATTTTTTTTTTGCCCTAAGCATTTGGCTACAGTCAACCAAAGAGATATCATGACCTTTTTTTATTGGGGGGGAGGGGTGGGGGGGGGCAGTATCAGTCTCCAACATCAAGCTTAATTTGTGTGAACCAGGGCCTTTAGGGCCAGGGGACAGCCTGGGTCCCAGGCCACATAATGATACTGCTATTGGTTTAATTTTTTTTTCCAATGTCTTCCTTTGGAATTATGTTCTTGAGCTTTACCAACTAGATTAAAACAATTAGACTAATTAATTTTTAGTTATATTATCAGAAAATAGTTATGTACTGTATTCACCGGTTGCATACTTGAATCTGATTGCTTTTTATAAAAATAAAAACTAATCCTCAAAGAATGAAGTTTCACTTCATTAAGGATATACTAAAGAAAGCTGTAGCCTCTCAAATGCTGTTAAGTTTCCTTCTTCTTTCTGCCCCTTCCATTTCCCAAAATGTCTTGAATAAATTATACTTTTGAATGGATCAGTGCTCATTTGGAAATATAAATTTTGGCAGG